AAATTTAAACGGCATTTCGTATCTATGCTTTCGTATCTATGCGCAGTTGTTGCTAACCGTACGCTAAGTGACCCCGGGCAAAGCTGGAACGTTTCTAATTTACGCTCCGCTGTGTTCTCAATGCTGAAATTGTGTTATAGACTTTCCGCTGACTAATATTGTTTCACCTTCGAAAACAAACAAAAATAGAGTTACCGGTGACAGCGTGAGATGTAATTTGTCAAAGTTGCGGGACCGAAAAGAGTTCAGGCGAGGCCCTTTCAATTTCGAAGTTCGTATTAATCGAACCGATGGTTCTGTAAAAAACGAGATAGACTTCATTATGACGAACAAACGGCAAATATTCAATGATGTCTCTGTGATCACAAGGGTTAAGACCGGCAGTGATCACCGATTGGTGAGAGGCACATTGAATATTAACATCAGGCTGGAAAGATCTCGTCTAATGAAGTCCACACTCCGACCCTCTCGTGCCCATATCCAGAACTCCGAAAGCTTTCATCGAGCTACATAATCGCTTCCAATGCCTAGAAAATTGCAGCACGGTGGACGATATTAACGCTAAGCTCGTGGAAACTGTCCATGCCGTGGGCCTTAAATTTTATAAGGCCCGCCGGACAAATAGAACCCAAAAACTCTCCGATCACACTCTTAACCTCTTGGGAAAAAGACGTGAGATGCGGCTGCAATCTTTAACTGACATGTCAGACTACAGGCGGCTTAATAGGCAGATCTCCAAATACATGCGGCGAGACTTACGCAACTTCAATACAGCCCGTATTGAGGGAGCTATAGAGCGGAACCTAGGCTCAAAAGTCTTCGCCAGAGATCTGTCTATCGGACAAAGCCAACTGACTAAGTTGAAGACTGACAGCGGGGCTATCATCTCTAGTAGACCAGAGGTTTTGAGTGAGATTGAGAGGTTCTATGGACAGCTGTACACATCGTCGTTGGAGCCATACACATGTATGAGTAACGACCCAAGAGCAAAGCTTATCCGACACTATTTCGAGAATATCCCGGACGTCAGTCTGAGCGAGATTAGAATGGCTCTTGACCATCTTAAGAATGGCAAAGCATCGGGAGAGGACGGAATTACAGCAGAGCTTCTGAAAGCGGGTGGAGAACCGGTACTTGTAGTCCTTCAGAGGCTCTTTAATTCCGTCCTTCAGGGTGGTGCTACACCAGAGGCGTGGAGCAGAAGTTGGTGGTGCTGTTCTTCAAGAAAGGCGATAACGCTCTCTTGAAGAACTATAGACCGATATCCCTTCTGAGCCGCGTCTATGTGCTGTTCTCAAGAGTCATATTGAATCGTCTCGCTTCCAGATTCGACGACTTCCAGCCTCCCGAACAAGCCGGATTCCGAAAAGGCTTCAGTACCATAGACCACATACACACCTTGCGGCAGATTATACAGAAGACCGAAGAGTATAATCTGCCTTTGTGCCTAGCGTGTGTGGACTATGAGGAAAGCCTTCGATTCTGTCGAAATTTGGGCGGTACTCCAGGCTCTTCAGCGGTGCCAAATTGACTGTCGGTATATCGAAGTGCTGCGGTGTTTGTATAACAAGGCTACGATGTCCGTCCAAGTACAGTCCAGTAGTACAAAACCTATCCAACTGCAGAAGGGTGTAAGACAGGGTGATGTCATATCCCCGAAACTCTTCACCGCAGCGTTGGAAGATGTTTTCAAGCTTCTGGACTGGAAAAGGACGAGGTATTAACATCAATGGCGAATACATCACCCACCTTCGATTTGCCGACGATATAGTCATCATGGCAGAATCGCTGGAGGACCTGGGTGCTATGCTCAATGACCTCAACAGTGTCTCCCAACGGGTGGGCCTTAAGATGAACATGGACAAGACGAAGATCATGTCCATGTCATCTAATGTCCATGTCACGCCTATACCGGTTGTTGTTGGGAGAACTGAGCTCGAAGTTGACGAGTACGTTTACCTAGGACAGTTAGTCCGGCTAGGTAAGTCCAACTTCGACGCAGAGGTCAATCGGCGAATCCAACTCGGATGGGCAGCGTTCGGGAAACTTCGGCAAATCTTCTCGTCGAATATACGTCAATGTTTGAAGACTAAAGTCTTCAATCAATGTGTGTTGCCAGTGATGACCTACGGAACCGAGACGTGGTCCTTCACTGCTGGCCGTATGAGGAAGCTCAAAGTCGCTCAGCGAGCTATGGAGCGGGCTATGCTCGGTATTTCTCTGCGTGATAGAGTTCGTAACGAAGACATCCGCAGTAGAACTAAGATAACCGATATAGCTCAGAGGATTAGCAAGCTGAAGTGGCGATGGGCCGGCCATATAGCTCGTAGAACCGATAACCGTTGGGAAAGAAAGTTTCTCGAGTGGCAGCCTCGTACTGGCCATCGCAGTGTAGGACGACCCCCAGTAGATGGAGTGTGCAAATGTGCGGGAAGTCGATGGATGCAGGTGGCTCAGGATCGTACTTCATGGCAGTCTATGGGGGAGGCCTATGTTCAGCAGTGGACTCAAACAGGCTGAAATGATGATGATGATTAATCGAACCGTATTTGCCGCTTGCTAAGAAAATGTTTGCGCGTTGAAAGAATTGGTTATGACTTGTAAGAATGAGGAGCCTTAAGTCACTTTTTTTCAATACCGAATTGAACACAAAGCAGCACGTTTGGCGGAAAAAAAAAATCATTGCCTTGACGTACAAATGCATTAAAAAAAACAACAGGCATACATTAATATAAAGAATCATAAATTTTCGTCATTATCCTCTGTTGCTTGCGCCATCAGTTCATATTTACTCCGTTATTTTCATCATGAACTGTCATAGTTAATCATTATAACCGCTATGCTACCGGGAGGCAAATAGTGGTAGAGATTATGGTATCTAAATTTACGTGCAATAGATTTAACGTCTTTAATACCAGGAGTACCGTGAAGGGTTTTTACGGTTAAATATTGCTCCTAAGGTAGTTTACGATATTTTTCTTTCTTCTGGCGTCTCCCATCTAGTAGGATTTGGCACAAAAAAGAATCATTATTTATAAGCTATATAGCATTAAAACTTGTAGAAAAAGTACGAAAAGATTGTCGCCGCTGTGGGAATCGAACCCACGTCTTCGGCATTCGCGGCCCGACGCTTTAGCCGCTAAGCTAAACGGCTGATTGCCACACCGACGAAAATCTTAATCTTTTATCTACATTGTTATTTAGCAATGCTTGGCGCATCTATTGTTATATCCTTTCCAGCATAATAACAATTTCGAATATAATTTATAGCGTTGCTTATATATTGGTTAGATATTTTACGTCTGACGTGAACTCTCTTTGGGAATAAACACCTGGGTGTCAAAACTTCGGGATCTGGATCTGGAACAACTATCTTAGGGTCACACAAATAATTTTCCCGTTAGAGCATCGATTCTACGACCCCCAGCAACTAAGTCTACAGAAGACTATAGATGTCAATGGACAATTTAACCGAGTGACATTTTGTATTATTTGTACAGAGATAAACATGAACACCTTTATTTTAAGTCATCTTTATTTATTTCTTAGCTATAACGAACTTTATCGATTCGAAAGCGTTTCTAGAGACTACGAAGTAAAGCGCTTTTATTAATAAACATCGAAAGCCAGCGATGGTTGCCCCAACACATATCGTACTAATTTATTAAATATGTTTACAATACAGAACACCGAAAGGACATTTTAATGTCTCGAGATTTCAGTTTATTTTAGTAGGTTGATATTATTAGACGAGAGAAGTCTCTTGCATTGGTACTGCGTGCGGGCGACAAGCTGATAACATAGCAGTGTATAACTTAATGGGCTCGTTAATTGAATAATCCATGCGTGTATGTTTGTACAGTGTTTATTATATCAGTTGAAATCCTCATGTCTCGACTTTTCTTTTTTTTTTTTTTTTTGCTGAAACAAGCGTTCTGTAAAACAACCGAGTTAAGTTAATCGCTGTTCGAAGGGCGGCTTTGACGTCTAGTGAAAAAATGTGTGTGTGTGTATGTGTCATAAAAGAAAAATAATTAAAAATTCTTATCTCCGGTGCCAGTACTCCTTGTGAAAGACATTAAATGCAATTGATAATGGTTGTAACTTGAAATAATAGGTAAATGTCAAAAAGCTATTATTATTTGCCATAGTATCGTGAGGTTGGTTGCTTTGGAACGTATATCATGTCGCTTTTTGGGGGTAGCCTATGTTCTTTCTCAGGCTCTAAAGTATCTGTGAACCAAAATTGATTTTAAATCGGTTCAGTAGTTTTGGCGCGATAGAGAGACAGACAGACAGAGTTACTTTCGCATTTATAATATTAAATATACAAGTAAGTATGAATCTAGGTTGTACCCATGAAAATGAATGTAAATACTTATTTATTAAATTTTACTACTTGTTCGAACCAATCGTCTGGCAATAAATAGGGATTATAAAAATTTTATAAAGTGAGCCCCGGCTTTACTACTCACCAGACGAAACGCTGAAGTATAACACTTCGACTTCAGGCCGGTCTTCTCTGATGCCGTGGTATTTACCCGGACGGACCAGCCCGTTCGTGCAACAGCTGAGACTGTTGCCTTGCCCTACCACAGTCGAAAGTGCTCTTTGCATTAATAATGCAACGGTACTAATAACATCATACATTCTACTTGGCATCTCGGGCGTGGCGTCCGAGATGACAATGCGGGTTATACCTAACCTGCACTATGTGCAACGTCGCATCACTACATAGTATAAAACAAAGTCGTCCCGCTGTCTGTCTGTCCCTATGTATGCTTAGATCTTTAAAACTACGCAACGGATCTTGATGCGGTTTTTTTTACTAGATAGAAGAGGAAGGTTTAAACGCATAATACATTGCACCCCTCCGAAGCCGGGGCGGGTTGCTAGTATATTACATAGTAATTACTTTTATTAAATAATAAAAATACAAGTAAGTTTTTGCACCAGCTATGGGATGTGAATATCGGGTCATAATCCATCGGGCTCCATTTATGCCCGGGTCGACTGGCATCCCCATTTCCCACTGTTCAGATACTATCGCACCCCTGCGCCGCTGGCAATTACTTTTATCAAACAGGGCAGCATTAAGCGGTCCCCATACAAGGGACTTTTTGGAATACGGGTACAATTTGCTATTTACTGTCCCTTCCTCGTAGGTATTGTCCATGACCACATCCGGATACAATTAAATGTTGCTTGTTACCGTCATTTCTATTTTTAATGTTTCTTTGTTTTCTTCCACGTCCTGTTTATAAAGGCTGTCTGTGTAATCTTTTAAGTTTTAACAACTGTCTATTTATAAACGCTACTATCTCGATTCGATATAGCCATTGCTCAATATTGTTGTAATGTTAGACATTGCCATGCATGGGCGTGCACTCCATATATGCAAAAAATATGCATAGCCCGTCGTCCGATACAAACGCCCCGAAAGGGCGTTTGTATGGGACTGAACACTGAAACCCACGAGTGAAACTAAAAACAAACTTAACATCTTACAGCCTTTACAAAGAGCACTTTGGATATCATTTAAGTTACCTGCTATCTAATACTATATTTACTTAAAGAAACTGTTAGGTTTTTTAGGGTTCCGTACCCAAAGGGTAAAATGGAACTCTTTAACTAAGACTCCGCTGTCTGTCTGTCCGTCTATCACCATGCTGTATCTCATGGACCGTGATAGTTAGACAGTTGAAATTTTCACAGATGATGTATTCCTGTTGCCGCTATAATAACAAATACTAAAAAACAGAATTAAAAATATTTATGTGGGGCTCCCACAATACAACAGACATGATTTCTTTGCCGTTTTTATAGATAATCGTACGGAACGTGCGTGAGGCCGACTCGCACTTGGCCGGTTATTTAGTGCATACCCTGTCTAATATATTTAATTATTAATATATCTAATATATTTCACAGATGATGTATTCCTGTTGCCGCTATAATAACAAATACTAAAAAACAGAATTAAAAATATTTATGTGGGGCTCCCACAATACAACAGACATGATTTCTTTGCCGTTTTTTAGATAATCGTACGGAACGTGCGTGAGGCCGACTCGCACTTGGCCGGTTATTTAGTGCATACCCTGTCTAAAATCTACGTGCCGATGGCAGCCTAAATATACTCATATTCTGCGTTTGTTCCCAGGGCGGTGACGGACCCGCGCGATGGCCGCCGCGTGGCGCTCAAGAAGCTGCCCAACGTGTTCCAGTCGCTCGTCTCCTCCAAACGCGTCTTCCGCGAGCTCAAGATGCTTTGCTTCTTCAAACACGAGAACGTAAGTGAACGCTTTCCACCCAGGGGTGAAACAAACTGGCAAACGGACAGCACACAACGTCTTCTGCACGAATGGGCAGGCTAGTCCGGGGAAGTACCGCGGCCTCACAGAAGGTCGGCGTGAAGTGGAAGTGTTAAACTTTCGTCTGGTGAATGGGGTAACCGGGGCCTGATGTATAGGTTGTCAACGCATCAGCAAGCCATCGTGTCATATTTCACGACTTACTAGGTCACGGCTGATCTTTACACAAAAAGAAAGTAGTATAGTAGTAGTAGTAACTAAGTCTTGGTTGAATAATTTTTTGATTTTCCAAATGATTTAATTTGCTTAAAAAAACACCACACAAGGGAACAATTAATGAATCGCGAGGATTCCACAAATATAAAATCAGAATAATGGACGAACATTTCACTAAGACTCGAGGCAATTAATTGTGGATCGCAAAAATATTTGTATTTTGCAGGGACTGAACCCACAACAAAGCGTTTAAAGCGCTGCGTAGTCCTTGCAGTCACATTATATCAAATTATCACAATGAGCTTAATCGTGTAATTCAAATTTAATAAAGCCGAATCCATATTTGAATTCGAGATTCTATGTGGTAACACTACTTCTGTTATTACACTCGCTATAAGAATAATAACGCAATCATAGTTTTTTAATTCTTCGTTAGTCATTTATTTTAAAGATTGTACTTTAATATTGTGATAAAGAATACTTTTTTAATTCAAATTCTTAAAAATATCGTAATTTTTCAAAGCACGAGCGATGACGTTATGAACTTATATAGCACCATAAAATAGGTTACATTCCACGTCGGATAACTTACCTACATACCACTAAATGGGAACGATTAGTCTGTGTTAGCGTGAACAATTATGGCTCTGCAGAATAGCTCTTGGGTCACGATTCAGCGGCGTCACGTTTAATATTTCTTAAAGTAATAGCAAACATTCCCAGTGACAATAAACAATATCAAGAGACTAGCGTGTACATAATCATATTTTAGGACATTGAGAATAAATAGATTATATTATTCTCCAATAAGTATGATGTTCAAATAATTTTAATGTTAGATTTTTGGCTGAACCTTTATAAAATAATAGAAAAGCCAGAATTGTTAACGCTGAGTTTAAAGTGTGGGTATTTAAGAATTCCTTTGTTAGTAAAATTCCCTTTAAGCATTTCTCATTGGCCGAAAGTGTTAAGACCCATTTACACGGTGCAAGTTTCTTGCCTGTTGTATACAATTAAATTGAAGCAATAAATGAGTTGCATGGTCTAAACAACAAATGGTCTAACAAATTATTGCGCGCAATTGATTGCATTCAATTATTGCTCTTGTATGTACAAGAAAATGGCATCGTGTAAATGGGCCTTTATGCTAGCTTTATAAAAGCTAGCATAAAGGTAGCTATATCGCTTCGCATTTATGATCTCGTACATCTTGTATGGAAATATGTACTCTTATATTTACTGTCACTATTCCTCGCAATTTGAACCTATGGGAAAAAGCATTTTTTACAATTAAAACAGTCAATACGATTAATAAATAATAAATAGTTAAAAATGACAAATACTGCAACTCGATAAAATATTTTCACACACTTCCGCTTGTGTGGAGGTTTTGCAGAATAAATAGTTTTTTATGTGTTAGTATAGCGAATTAGCGAATGAGCTCATCGTAAAAAATAGTTAGCTATTGATTGTGTGTATTTGTTGATATGTATACATATGTATAATGATTTGTGTTTGTTTTGTATAAATAATTTGAATAATGAAAAATCTTTCATGAATGCTATTTCGTTACCAAACGATGAGAATCATTTATATATAAAAGTTTAGATATGATAATCGATATTGGCGAATATATCAATGAGCCAATCCGATCGAAGCCAAATATTCTCTCGCACAGAATACGCGGAGCATTGGCGTTCGGGGGCCAATTTTTCAATCAATGACCATTTCGATTTTATTGAGTGGGCCATTACCATAATAATATCGGCCGTTCATTATCACGAAATAATCGTAATACGGCCCCGCGGTGCGCACAATATTTCGCTGTGTGTTTAATCGATCGACGCTTATTGTTTGCGGTTTGTGCGCATTTAGTGGCCGCGTGAAAACAGGATTTGAATTTGCATGGGAATGCGTTTTGTTACATGAGATGGTGGCGGTTTGCTTACGGGTTTTATTAAAATTTAAAAAGAAAACGGTCTCCTACACCGGGTTTGTATTTTTTTTAATGCATTTTTGAAGTTTTCAGACCAATCACAATGTTGCACACTGGCAGTGTTTAGTTTTGACGATAAGAGCAAAACGAGGCCTTAAAAATACCTCAAGAACGAATTTTCGAATCAAAATCAAAGATCCCTAACGAAAATGTTTATGTTATTTTACGCAAAGGTACTCGTATAATGGTTTTCAATTTCAGAAGAATCGTTCCTTGATTGATTGTGAAATAGATGTCTCTTTGTTGTGTTGAACTTTGTACTACATTTTGATCACTTGTGAATTATTGTTAATGCAAATAACACATTTATTTCGTCTATTCACAGGTACTATCGGCATTGGACATCCTGCAGCCACCTAGCCTCGACTTCTTCCAGGAAATGTATCCTTTACTTTGCACGTTGACGTGTTACTTATATACTTTAGGATAAGTGAAGATGTGGTATATTGGCAGTCTACTGCGGGATGTACTGAAAGTGGATGACTAACGAGCTATACGTCTATAAGTGGATGTGGAAGACGCGTAAGGTCTCGGAAAGTGGTATTCCTCACCACTGTCCACCTCTGGCTGTTTTGTGTGTGTGTGTTTATGAATGTACGTATGGGCTTTAACGGTGTGTTTGCGGTACGTTGACCCAGCCCATGTTCGCGCTTCCGCGTAGCGTCGCCCGCACTCCGGCCATTTTATTCAACCGCCGCGCGCGTTATTGAGTTACTCTCGGCGCACTGTCAGCGCCGTCCGCCCTCTCGATTCTCTATATCTGACTCCATTCGATTACCGCCTCCTCGAATAGCCGTATAGCCGTATCGCTAGTTCGGCCACGTACTCGGTTAGCTCGTGTTCGCTTTCGAAAGACCGTAAGAACCGTTTCCTCGCGCGACGTCCACGTGTGGTCGAGATGCGTTCCAATATTGTTCACATCGACAACATTCGGAGTAAACTAGTACTTTTATGACACGCGGGCTCGCTATGTTACTTTATCGAAGAGTTCGTAAAGTAATAAGAAAGGAACAGGCTCACAGTCTTATCGTTCACAATTGAACGATTTTGTATTAAATAATATTAAGTTAAAATAACGATATGCAAATTTTGATATTACATTAGTTTGCAGTCTTCCCACCATTAATTGTATAATATTTTAAAAAAAAGACTGGTTTCAACAAAGATTTCAGTAAGAGCACAAATACGCCGGTTTCTGAAACACTAAACATCGTAGAAATTAACTAATCAGCTGTCAAATGGCTTCCGTTGGTTAAATAAGTAAAAGTTTTCAAATCAAAGATTTTAACCATCCTTTTGGCAGCTCAAATGACATTTGAGAAGCCATTTGATAGCTGATTAGTTAATTTCTACGATATTAGTGTTTCAGAAACCGGGCGATAGATTTTTAATTTTGTTCTTTTATACTATCCATAAGAATTTGAGATATATGGACTTTGATTTTACGGCTCCAAACGGTGACACAAAAATGCCGCCATGGTACGATTTAAATTAAAGCTTGTAATTGATATCCGATAGAATGATAAATTAAAAGCGGGCGCGTAATAAAATCCGAAATCAAACACGATAAAAGGGCCGAAATTGATGTTATGGCAGGATACAATTTCACGCTGTCAAATCATTCGGACGGCCTCTGGCTGGCGCCAATTTTTCACCTGGAACCCCCCTTCCGCCCCAGCATGGTGTCCAATTTCGTCATACTTCGACACCGGCCCGATTTATCGCTCTACCCCGAAATGATCAACAAAAAGTTGCCTGCACTCCCATTTTGTATCGTCGAAAACGTACACAACACTACTCGTCTAACGCCCGGTTTCTGAAAAACTGATCATCGTAGATGTCAACTAATCAGCTGTCAAATGGCTTTTCAAATGTAATTTGAGTCGCCAAAAGGATGGTTAAACTATTTGAATTGATCACTCTGGTCATCAAGAAGGTCATTCTGGTGATTAGTTGACATCTACGATGATCAGTGTTTCAGAAACCGGGCGTTAGGGACATATTTTTTTGATTTCATTTCTTACGTAATCATTCTGTTCTTCTTCACCAACTTCAATTACTGCATGATGAGATACTTTCTTCTTTTTTGTTTTTCAAAATATACATTTTTGTATTCACTTGATTCTCTGACTCCTAAAGACCTGCTTTTACCTACCTCTTTCGATAAGCTCATCAGGTGAATACCATTGCATTGTTTCGTTACATTCATCTCCATCAATTCCCAGCATATGTCCCGTCTGATTTCAACTGTCCCATTAGAATTGTGCGGGTGAAAAAATAAAATAACGCGCCCGCCGAAGCGTTCGGGACTTATTAAAAACGGGGCAAAAAACACGCGCGGGCCGTTTGCGAAACACGGCCGTAATCGATTTTGCTGTGAGCCGGCGACGCGGATTTGTTGAACGAAAATCTTCCATACGAATTTCCGGCGTTTGCCTGCAAATTTTGGCCCTTCGATTTTGTTTTTTTTTTGGCACGCCAACGCCGCGTTGCGGTTGGCAAATAAACGTCTCGTTCACGGCCCCTTTGCTCGTGTTCAAAGTTAATTTGAAGTTTCGCCTTTTACGCCACCGCATGCGCTTTGATATTTATAATCGCTTTCGATAGCACGTGAGCTGATTGCGCGTTTCATATGTTGAAAGTTAGTATTTCCAGAACATTGTAAGAGAAATGTAAAAGCCAGTTCATTCGTTGTTCCTATTTCTAGTGGCTTTAATACGCTTATTTATAACTTGAAGAGTACTTGCATTTGAACATTAAAATAGACGGGTGTTTTATCGCAGTTATTTTATATTAAATACACTGCGAGTTCAAGCGTTATATGAATCAATATTAGAATATTGTTAACTTTCTACGTCAAGGTGTTCTAAAACATATTCCTTTCAAGGGATTTTTTTTAGATATATGTTGGAAAATTATTTGTATTAGATGTAATTATGTATATCCCTAGTTTGCCGTTATCTACTTTTAAGCTTCTTGCTAAGGTTTCTTTGATCTTATCACAGACGAACGCCGTCGTAGCGGTCTTCAATATAGATTAAAATTTGTCCGACCAATTCATTCTAGGTCGCATATTTTAACTTTTATTTTATTGTAATATCAGCCTGATGTGCTACACGATTCTTATTTTAAATACAGATAGGGTTGGGTAACCTTACCACCGACCAGCCTTATGTTGGTTTAGACTGCCCGAGCCATGGGGACCAGGACCTCAATACTCGACTAACTCAAGGACTTGTGACAGCTGTCGTAAATAGACCGATTTTCAATTCATAGTTTTAAGTTTGATGCTTCCTTATATTTGGTCCGCAACATACATGGAGGCAAAATATGAACTTTAAACTTACGTTTGCTAGATTTCTAAGGATCAATAGGTATATCGATCATTCATTTCTTTCGCCTTTTGACCAGATGTGCTCTATGCTTCCAGTAACACAATTTCAATAGTTTATGGTTTATAATTTTAGGGATATCTCTGTGGCCTGTCGCACTTTGTTCAGATTTAAGTAATAGTTACTTTATATCTTGTAATTACTGTCTAGGACTGGCCGAACCGGCGTTGTGTACCCTTGTCTTTGCTTATATTAACACAGGAGTTTACTATTGTTATAAATAAATCCGTAAATTTCATTTCTTTCGTTAGGCTAATATCACCCAATCGTAATGAAAGCGTGCCCAGAACGAATCAAAATTATCGAGAGCCGCTTGATCGCATCAACGCAAATTTAGAGCACGCTTTGATGTGTCCCGATTGAACAAAGGCGATTTTTTTAGGATATGCGCGAACATAAACCATCGTTAATCCACGCTGATTTATAAGCGCCGTAACTGATTTATTGGAACGAGAGGAAAACTCATCCGAGTCCTGTTTGTCTATCAATGGTTAGGAGATCAGACGATAAGTGAATGCATACTTTATTTATTATCATCTTGTTACCGGAACGGTTTTAAATTAGAAGAAAATTTACGATTTGATCATATGTTATTCTATCTTGTTTGTTGCTTTCAGTCCCGAGACTATTAAAGCTTCATCTGACGCAGAATCGGTGGGCTAGCCAGAACCCACGGGTTTGGGCACTCCGCTGTGTGTAGGGAATTATAAGTAGTAATTGACTATAAAGTTTTATTGATTGATGTGTTCTCATCAGTTATTGTTGATTCAGCATTCATGCTCTTGTTGACTACAAATCAAATAGCAAACTGGCGGGTTAATCGATCCAGCTAGACTTTGGTGAGTGGGTAGTATTGTCGCGACTCGTCGAGGTCGCGGTTTAAACCAAATGGCGTACAGCAAAAAAAATAGTTTTTATTTCTATTAGAGATCACACCTTTAATATTATTAGATATATTTAAGCCGAGGACACGAAAGGCTCGTGTGCTTAGTGAAAATTAAATCCAGTCTCATTTTTTAATATTTTATAATGGTCAAATATTTAATTAATTTTATTAATAAAAAATGTTAATAATAAACAATACTATTTTTATTGTAAAAATACGTAAATTTTTCCAAAGATATCGCCCTGTGGCGATCTTTCATCCATCTACTGCATTATCGTCATTAACACCAAGATAAAAACGAGCGCTTCCTCCGTACGAAAAGTTTTACGAATGTTCATGTCGTATCGTTGAGATAGAATCAATGTATTTATTTTTAAGTTACCGCTTATGTTTTATTTTTATTTTTAGACTTATAAAAAAAATATTAACAGACTCCAAAATAACCCATTACAATAAAACCATTTTAGTTTCAATATAATAATAACATTGAAAATCCTTTTTAACCAGCCTGTGACACAAGTGCACAATAATTCGTTTGTTTAAGATATCAAGCTTGTACTGAGCTAGTAAGTTAAGCTGCCATCTAAAGCTTACCATCGCATGGTAGTCAATCACTGGTGACAAAATAGAAACACAGTCTTGTTTACTTATACCAAATCTTGGTAGCCATAGTTAATGTAAAAAAAAGTAAAGTAACAGCCTATATATCTCCCACTGCTGGGCAAAGGCCTACTCTGTTATGTGTTCGAAATATATTACGAAAATATGCAGGTTTCCTCACGATGCTTTCCTTCACCGCCGAACACTTGATAATTCAGCACTTAAAAAATTAGCAATTTCATTGGAGCTGGCACCGGGGATCGAACTCGGGTTGCTCGAGTATCCTTACTAATATTATAAAGGCGAAAGTTTATATGTATGGATGGATGTTTGTTACTCTTTCACGCAAATCCTACTGAATGGATTTTAATGAAATTTTACAATAATATAGCTTAGAATAAGACATAGGCTATAATTTATATACATATTTTATGTATATTTGTCTTTCTGTGTGAATGTTTCGCCTTCACCTATTCTACGCAGACGTAGTCGCGGGTAGCAGCTAGTATATAATTAAAGGCGAGCGCCCGGACGCTGAGCTATCACGGCTCATACGTTACGTTGACCTTTCTTTAATTTTCATTAATATTTTATACCAAGCTTTAACTCTTTTGGCATTGAAATTGCCGGAGATGAATGCGCCCGGAAATGGTTCACGCTCATGTTTTTATTACGTTTCATTAATATAACTGACAAAGACGAATACTACGGCTCTGACGTTAGACCGCTGCAAATTATGACGAACCCGAGGGCGGCGTACGTAAAGAATTCCGTTGTCTTTTTGTCGCAACGTCAGGCGTCCGAGCACAAAGAGAAGGAATTGGCAGTTGAAAGTGCTGCGCCGCGATGATTGAACTTGGTACTTGTCGCCCTCCGGTTCGCGCTTTTGTCGGGGAAATTCCATTATTAGGGCTCCGCGGCCGCTCTTTAGCCGGCACCCATTGTTGCCCGCGCCATTCCAAGAGGTTTCGGCTTTAGTTGCCTTTGTTTAATTACTGGCTTCCTGCTTCTGTTATTTTTTGCCATTATTCTTATTTTGAATTTGCACATTCCATTTAAATGCTTTGGAAGTTTTGTGACTTCACTGACGTGCACAAACGGCAACCGAGTCGACGTTATAATGTAAACGTCTTAGAGTACATCGATATAGCATCCCTTTGTGTCGCGGAACAACGCCGCGCCACTCGTGTTTCCAGCTGGTGCTACAGCATTGTGACCGCGGCCCGCGCGCATCTTTTGTTCCGCCCGCCGGCTTCTTTGTTCCGCGGCCCGTTCCTTTTGTTCCGCGTCCCGTACCTTTTGTTCCGCGCCGTCTTTGTTCCGCGGTCGCGCAGCGCCCCTGCGCGTGCGCTTCCCAATTAGCGGACGACGTGGGACTAGCGTCCAGATTTAAACGCGCCGCGTCACGGCCAAACGTGCAACGAATGAATGCACTGAAATACTTCTAACCACTTCAACCAAGCCGCTAGGGAGATTTACTGCTTTGGGCCATGAGGTTTATGCGTCGATTATGTCGTATACTACATACGACGCTCGTATCTGTGCCTACTCGATAGGACAGCGTACGCACCCCCTCCGCTCAAAACACCATCCGAAAAGAATAGTCGAGAGCTAATTAACACACGGAAGATTTGAACAATGTTCACACAATTTTTTGCCTTCGCCGTCAATTTCAGAGTCGCTAAGAAATGTTCAATGTCATTGGCGGCTTTGTATGAATCAGAAGTAATATTTTTTAAGTATTTCTGGTTTTCTACGGCTAAGTTCTGGTCGATCCTGGTGTTTATATCAAGTATATAGAACATTTTATTGTGATGCACAGGAACTCGTACGTAACAATACGTAGTATTCAAATATATAATAATAGCATGCCAAATTTCATACTTAATAAGGTCCTTGACAATCAAACAACGAATGCAGATTATAATATATTAAATCGTATAGTTTTTTCACTGAAATTACATCTTTTACGTCTGAGCTATTCGGGTCCCACGAACGACTCAATAGCCGAGGGCGCATTACTAGCGAGGTCGCAGTTAAAACTTATATTTTCAATGCGCGCGGGTGGGGAAGAATTGATCGGAAGCCAATATATCGCGCCCCATCCGCGGGGCTTGAGAGGTTTCGAAATAAATTTAGATGCGAGTTTGGGTGCTTCGCCATGGATCTTGTGTCTCGGGCCATTAGCGCGTTCTACGTCATTCGTCTCCGACAATGTCGTCGCCTATATAAAGCGCGGCTTACGCGTATCTACGCTTGGACCGGCCGCAGACTGCGTGGATTATTCCACGTGGGAATTGCCTTGTCCGTCGTTATTAAAAGCGAGCGGCCCTTTGTCCGCTTTATAACTATTTACTTCGCGATAAAAGTAAACACAGTACAATCCCCTCTGTACATAGGAGGTCGTATATAGGCTGTTACTGTTACTTACTTTATACACAATGTGAAAAGAATTTAGTTTATAACACAAACATATTATTATGTGCAGTAGAGTCGAGACCCTTAGGCTGTAAATTGTTTTTAGTGCGACCATTTTGATTCAGAAAGTTCAGTGTTATAGGGCTTCTGAATATTCTTTACTGTGCTATTTATAGTTGCTCCTAATATAGTAATTATCATCATGGTTCATGAAAAGATAAAAGAATATCATTAATGCAACAACATAAGAGGATATTTTATATTCAACTGGTGCGTCTTCCGTGAAAACTTTTGCCTTACCCTGCGATGGGTTGTCCTTTGTAAACGGGATCAAGTCTCCTGGAGCGGGGAGGCGAGGCGCCGGTGCGTGACTCCTTTACGTTCTGCATTCAGCCGTCGATTGGTCGAGGATGGATCCGGACTAACGGCACGTAAAGCTGGAAAAGCTTTTCCAGCAATCCATTTAGACTTCTGTGCTGGACAAGTTTAGTATTATTCTTCCAGCAATCCGTTTAGACTTCTGTATACACGATTTACTCGTGGTCTAAATATAGAATCTCAATTTCCGCCGGGATTACGTCTTAGCTGTTGCTGTGGATCTATGGGTCTTTGTTCATTTTGTCTTTCGTTGTACGAATTGTTGCTTACATTAGTCTGAAAACTCAGTTTTTACCAGAATACAAAAAGGAATATTGCAATCGACGATTTCTGAGGTTTGTTTAATAATTTTTCATCGGGCTTTTGCGCGTTTTTCGTTAGGAATTAATGAAGAATCTTTTCGAAAAAGAATTATCCAGTCACCCAACTAATAATCTATCATCATACTATATTTGTATAAAAAAGCTGCGTGAGGAGTGTACAGTGCCAGTTGCACACAAACTTTCACCTATATTTAAACCCCCAAAATCACCCCCATCATCGGCCTCAAAATACCGTCCACTTTTGAACATAGGCCTCCCTTTAGAACTTTAATATTATATGTGCCGAATTATTTTTAACAAACCATAAGCGGAAATTTCTATACACCTAATATATATTAAGTAGTTTATTAACCCCGTAATATCATTGACTACTTGCAGCAAAGGTTTCTTTAATATTATACTAGCTGCTGCCCTAGACTACGTCTGCGTAGAAAAGGCTGAAGGCGTAACATTCAGACAAAAAGACAGATGCCTATGTCTTATTCTGATGTATAAGCTATACTATTTTAAAGTTTCATTAGAATCCATTCAATAGTATTTGCGTGAAAGAGTAAAAAACATGCATCCATACATACAAACTTTCGCGTTTATAATATTAGTAAGGAAGTACAGAAGTAAGGATAAGGCTCGGGCATATAACGCTTTATGTATACGGACGGTGGCAATATCGGCGCTGCAAGCGGTTAACGTCTCGTCATAAAGTCCCCGCTAGGGAAGCGAGTGTCGCGTCGATGGATGCGGGAATATTAAAACGCCAACGTTATTGTTGCTCTGAACAACCGCCGGGCCTCGAGGAATGCTAATCAAAGAAACGAATGCACAGTGGAATCGTTTAGGACTGGCGGGTAGAGAATTAATTACGTCATCCACCGAAAAACCCGATAAATCATTTCGTTAATAGGATATTCTGATCATATTAAAACGCTGTCTGAAGGAAACACTATCAACTGAAAAAGTGACTTATCACCAAGTTGTAAGACCAGTGACAGACCGTATGAAACGTCTTACTAATGCCTGGTTCCTATATTCAACGAATTGCCGTTAGCTTCGTAACTTTCATAACGACTTTTAGATAAAAGGCGTGTACGCCCGGTTCCTATATTAACAAAACGAGGCGTTTTCCTTACGAGCCGTTGCATTACCTACGAAAAGTGTGTTACTAGCGTTCCTTGAATCTACAAGTTGTTATGAAAATTCGAAGCTATGTAACGGCCGTTCGTTGAATATAGGAACCGGGCTTAAATGAGATGTACAATAATAGTCAAATTAGCATAGCATACTAGCGTACCAAAGGTAAGCTAAGATTCCTGTGTGCTGATAACGCATTATATGGTTGTTATTAATCTCCTTTAAGACACAGTCACCCAAAACAAAGTTTTATAAACAACGAAACGAAGAACTAAAATCGCTTAAAGGATTGTAGTCTCTACGGAAGCATAAAGTTCTTCCCTGAAAGCATTAAGTTCCGTCCATGCCTGATCGTTTCTTAAAGAGTTTTTGCTACTAAAATTTTATTTTTCTTTGTTTTATCAAAGTTCTTTTGTGCTACATAAACTTTGTGAGAATTCATAAAATCAGTCCTTAAAGGCTGTATAATCAAAACTGGTTGCTTTTTTGTGACGTCATTGTTGACATTTCTTCTATTACATGTTTCCACATTATAAAATATGTTCCCAGAGCAATTATGTTTCTAAATATTTTATTTCTATTATATCGTTTCATTCTGATATTTATAAACAAAAGAGTAAAAAGACTGCGAAAGTTAGTCGTGTACAACATACTCGTATTCAAGCGCTACAACAGACTAAAATAACTACTAACTAAAATTTTTTAATTACACTTTTACGTCACGCGCGGCAGCTGTTGAGGGTGAATTAAATGACAGCTGTCGATTAGTTTTTTTTTAACACGGGACAAAGTTTTCGATGTCAATGGACGGTCGTTGTACTCTTTTTTTTTTTTCATCGGTCCCATGGGTGGGTAACTTTGGATCAATCTATGTATAAAATTAAATAGGGTCGGGGAGCAGACACTTGCCATTTTAAATTAAAGGACGTCTTTCCTAATCACATGTTTATTTTAGCATTACGAAAATTTAAACAACTGGTCCGGACTAATCTACAGAAAGCTGATTTTGATTTTTTAGCTGATTTTGACGCAGCATAATAATGGTAGGGTACCATTAATGAACTTTATAAGATTATATATATACAGCGTGTCGTTACCATCGCGACAATAAATGAACACACGTCTAACGCTACTTGCCAATAATCATAAAAAAATATTAACGTTAAAAAAAAGCCATAATTAAAAAAAAAATATTTTTCAAACAAATTAAGTAAAAAAGAAACAAAATTTGTAACATCATAACCTATACATCTCGCACCACAGCGTCGCATTACAAGCCTCTCCTTCTAACAGTATGTTTTGTCTCTTTTAAATTCCTTCAACCCATTCATATGCTTTGTGACCTTTACAAATGAACTTTACGTAATAGTTTTATACGTAAGGCTGTTCTAAAATTCTTTGTTTTGGAAAGTTTGATAACTCGGTAAATATTGATGTTTATAGAATGTAAATCTTTAATACAATTTTAAAAAGTTATCCTCTATATGTGTGTTAAGTTATTATTGTCGCCATTGTAAAGACACGCTGTATAACATTACGAATCGTACCGTCTCAACAATTTAAGAAGGGAATCTCCTGATTCCTCCTCTAGTTCTTGCTCCTTTATATACGCGATTTGCCAGTCGTTGGTAGAGCTAGTGCAATTTATTCAAGTATTTTATAGATTGTGACTGTTACAATCGAATGTAAATTATTTGTATAGGTGGAAATCCGCCACTTTTATATTATACGTGATGAACATTAGTTCGTCGGTTTCCTGTCATAATTAAAAACACTCCAGCCCTTGAAATCTTCACCCTGATAAGGGTCAAACCGGATTTCATATAACCGTATCGGATATAAGCTAGGATATAATCTTAGTGTAAAATCAGTGTGTGGTTAAATTTTTCAAGAACCATTATGAGCAAAGTACGTGTATAGGAGGCGCTTCAATTACCACGTAGTAATACTTTTATTACCACGTTGATTAAATCAAGTAAAAGTACAATGTTTTGTATACAAAAAAAAAGCAACTTGTATATACTTGTATGTGTACGTGTATGAACTCACTTTTAAAATGAAATTGTGTAAATAAATCTCTAAGGTATATCAAAAATCTAAAGAGAAACATTAAAGTCCGGGTCTCAGGTCAATAAGCTTCAAAGGCTATAAACTTGATGCCTTATGGCGTATGGGGTCGATGTACGATGTATAATGTTTCATCTTGTAATTTTTCATCTTTATTACAATCAGTATTGAATAGTTAATTTGTTTAGAAATAACAGTTTTCTTTAACGCAATAAGAAAAACTAATGAATTTAGTTAGGAGCCAACTGTTAAAGGTCTCTAGGAACTTCAAATTAAGATATTGAGTTTCTGAAACAACAGCGCTGATCCTTTCACTTTGCTTCAAATACGCAACTTCATAACTCAATTCGGCTGTGCAAGTCCACATCTACCAATTCCATTACAGTAGACATTTGTGTATTTTTCTTTAAATATGTATGGCTAATACAGCTGACTTAATATACTTAGGCGACTGTGTATCATTATTAAATTAAATTGTTTCGATCATGAGTGCCGCAAACTCATGTTCCGAAACATAACTTAAGGTACTCGAAGCATTATGATTTTGAAGTTTTAATGAAACGCGATAACACCCGCTAAGGGTGTTTTTTTACGTGAGAAAGTGGCAAAACGAGTTGGCGGTTCACCTAATGTTAAGTGATAACCGCCACCCATGGACATATGCAACACCCGTAGGGTTGCAGAAGCGTTGCCACTTTTTAGTAAAGTTCAATAATATAAATCCAACCTGAACATTCTAATCTGCGTGTAATCAGATCAACTATTCCCATCGCCGTGTTTCCGTCGTAGTAGTGCCGAGGGTTGAGAAGGGTCGGCGGTGTAAGCGACCGCGGATGAATGTGGACGGCTCTGCTAGAGTTTATTGCGTGACTCTTACCATGCGCGTATGCGCCGTGCTCGGGAAGCCTTAATTGTGGCGCAGGCTACACGTCGGCTGTGTTTTGGACGATTCCCCGATGCCCATACTTGCACCTGCCCGACTTCTAGGCAGTGTAGATGACGCCGGTGTGTGTGTGTGTGTGTGTGTGTGTGTGTGTGTGTTTTCGTGAGATCAGGATACCTATACTCGCACCTGCCCGACTTCTAGGGCAGTGTAGATGACCCCGGTGTGTGTGCGCGTGTTTTGGTGCGCTGCGCTCACGCATCGGACATCTCGGGCAAATGCGATGGGAGACGCGTCTCATGGAGTAAAATACACGTGGGTTTTTACATGAGAAAGGGGCAAACGAGCGGACGGTTCACCTGTTGTTAAATGACAATCGCCAGTAGACGGTTGCACATGCGTTGCTATTTATTAATAAATTCGGCTCCCGTTACCTCACTTACCAGACGAAACGCGGAATATAACACTTCCACTACACGCCGATCTTCTGTGAGGTCGTGGTACTTCCCCGGACGGACGTGCCCATTCGTGCAACGGCGAAGACTGTTATGTGGTCCTACCACAGTAAAAGGATGTTGGATAGTTCTGTAAATGGCCAGGGGAAACATTTCTTTTAAACATGTGTTTCGTTATTACAGTGCAATTTGTGCATACGAACACGGGAGTCCACTTTATGTTTCATTTAACTTATTGAAAAAATATGAATTATATTTTTTCATGTCCGCTTTTTTACGTAAGCTTTTGAATTGAGTTTGTTAATTGATTGTAACCATTTGCGCCCTGGTAATTTATGAGTACGCATACTTTCTATCCGTAGTGTCTACGATAAATACTTTACTACTGCGAGAGGATACCTTATCACTGCAAACTTGCGCTTTCGAGACGGCGTGTTTTTCACAAGTTTACGACGCTGCTATTGTTTCTCAGAAACTTTTCGGTGTTATAAGACTATTTTTCGTCGTCGATGTTTGTTATTTTCCGGGTATTCGTCTTGTTTTCTTCGAAAAGTTCTTTTCAGAAAACACCCATAACGAAAACTGTTACATAACCATTTTATTCATTTAAGCCTCGTTTGATCATTAAGAAGATCATTCTGATCAATTCAGAGAGTTTAACAATCCTTTTGGCATTCAAATAACATTTGAAAAGCCATTTGGCAGCTGATTAGTTAACTTCTACGATGATCAGTGTTTCAGAAACCGAGCGTTAAAGAGCGTTTCAAGATCGGGCAACACAGTTTAAAAATTTTCTTCCGAAATACAAGGTTAACAGGGGCAACTAGTGTTTAATAAATATAACTATACTGCCGCAATTTTTTTGAAAATATTTTTTTTACCTTTACCTCATTTGACGACATTTCATCAGCACGTGCGTGGATTTAATTAACATTTCAGGTGTTTTTATTTACGTACGAATTGTATTACACCGCAACCAACACTTTGTAGAACTTAGTTAATTTTATTTCATGTATATAATGTTTCGTATAATTAAACGCTATCTTTTCATAAAAATGACTTAATTTACTTATACGTTGAATGTTTTCCTCCTTTGGAGTAGCGAGCTGAATTTTAATATTTGTGAGTGATTTACTCCACTTTGAATGGGTAGAATTTCTGCTACTGTTTGCGTACAGTCCGCCGAATGCTCACGCCGGCTGAACCGTATTAACTAAATGAATGATGGCCCCTTAAACACGGGCTGATTTGTTTTGCGCGAGGTATTTTAATACACTCGGCGCGAAATGAAAATGCTCACAACGCGCAAGTGCACTTAACTTAATCAAATAGTAATGTACTAGCTGTTTCGACCAACGAACTATGGGGGGTATTAATCGTTTGCAATGAGCGCCTGAACAAGCTTTGGCGAAAGCCTCCGCGCCTGTGCGGCCTCTGATAATTTCAGCTTAAACGTCCTTCCGAACAGTCGCGTCTGCCTGTGACGGCTTAATGGAGTGACACGGCCGACGAGAAGCGTCCGAGCCTTCAATCTGGGGAAATTGGAAGGTTTTTTTTCTCGAAAAACAAAGGTCAAGGCTTGCAGCTTTCGAGTGTACCTCATATTGCCTTCGATGTGGTCATATGCACAGACCTTTGTAAAATTGTTCACACTGGTTGCGTATGGTTTTCGATTATTATTTACAAACCTTGGATAGAAACTTAGTTTTTAATAGACAAAGAATATGAATATTTGAACAGAATTCCTACTTGTGTATGCTGTAGTTGATAGTGAAAAAGTCAGCTAAAGTTAAATCTCGTGTTTGTGAGCGCAAGACTTCCTATTGCACTTTTCTGTCTCTGAACATAAATTAACTAAATTTCGTAAACTCTAAATATTGTCAAATTATAAATTGGGCTAGAAAATTTCACAGCTTATTCTCTATTATTACAGAAGGTTACTCTAAGGGAAAACACAAAAGAATTGTGAACGATTCAATATTCATGAATACTGTAGTAACGAGGTAGACGGTGTCGCAGTAAAGGCGACATTTAAATCAAAGTTTAAGGTAAACTTAATTTAAACGGGAGGCCTTTAGGGTTTAATTTGAAACGGCGAAGGTCGCGCCATCTGTTACGAGCGTGCGGGAGACTTAGCTCATTGAAGGCGACGTTTCGAGGCGAGAACCGCAGTAAAAGTCGGTTCCCCGAAAACCTATTTGGGAGTACGACGGGTGACCAGCCCGCCCGGGGTCGAGCACGAGTTTTACGTTTATGATGATGTACCATCTCCGTGTCGTTGTAAATTTTGACGGCACATTGTTTGTCCGCGACGAATGTCGAACGAGCGAATGTCATTAGGTGTAATCGAGTCGAGGCCCAGGGCCTGGATTGCGTGCAGACGTCGATATCGATGAGGAACGAAAGAAACTATGTAATAATATGGATGTATTTGTTTTTAGGGTGCGTTGGCCCTTAAAATATGTAGTCAAATGTAATATCAATATATTAGACACGTAAATGGAGCTGGTGGCTTACTGGATTTTAATAACTTGATGAACTTTGCGTTTTCACTACCTTCTACCCGATTGGTGTAGTGGATAGCGGACCTGTCTCCAGCGCCAGAGGGTGTGGGTTCCACCCCCACTACTGGAAAAATATTGTGTAATGAACATAGTATTTATCTAGTGTCTGGTTGTTTATATATCTATAATATGTGTTTATTTACATTAGGGTTAGAGTTCGTGACCGACCTTGAAATTGAGCCCCGGTTAGCTCACTCACCGGAGGCAATGCAAAAGCATCAGACGATGTATACAATTCCCTGTTTATCATAATGCCTCCGTAATAGAGAAACGCTCGCGGAACATGTTCGTTAACAACCGACCATATTTCGTTAAGTAATTGGAGAGCGATATCGCATCGCCAACAATGCGGACAACTAAGCGAGTGGCTAGCAAAAACGGTCAAAGATAACAAACAGCTAACGAGACATCCTTGGAGGAACCTTGGCTTTGTTTACTGTTAGCACTTTTAAGGTAAAAGAAACAGCAGCATTTATAACAAGTCCATTACGCAAACTTAATAAAATGACATAACTTACGAGTCGTACGCATACCACAAAGGAGTATACGTGCCAGAGCTCTGTTTTGAACACAAAACCGTGTACATTCCTGGTTTTCCTTCTATCGTTACGTGTTTTTATAAAGACGTGTATGTTTTCATACTAATCCGGTTTCTGCTTATGGTCGCTATTTATTAACTTGAGTAATGGGTATGTGGTAAGGCGGTGACCGGGAGCTCGGTTTTTATTTCGCGTGGTAGTTACCAAGGAAATTTCTGCAACTTTTATGCGGATTTATCACGTGCTCGGAGGTGAACACACATCGTGCGGAAACCGAAATATTATTGAAATAATAATGTTAAGAATGATAATTGATGAATAATGTAATGAATAAAAAATCAAATATATGTGAAGTCTGTCAAGCCATGGGTCGTGTGGAGGACTATACCCTAATACTTTCTGCAGACGCCCTTACATAATAGTGGGAAACAAATTTTAAAGAAACTTCTTGTCGTATTCAAAATCAAAATTGCTAGGAATGGAATAATAAATCTGCTAAACTAACGTAGAATCGACATATGTACCAAATAGTTTTTTGCACTGATTCCAAGACCCCCCGTCTTTGTGACCGCGACCTCATCCCACTGACCATGATGAAGGGCTTCCGATAGGTCCGAAACTAGTCGATCCATACACCGATTTTACATGATTTTAGCCGTTTAACTATTCCGTTGATAATGTATCACGAAAGTTTTAACAATAGGTAATATTAAATCTTCAAATTTTAAAAGATACGCAGCACACAAAAACCAAAAATCCCCGTCGAGTACTATAAACTGTAATAGAAAACTAAGTTACCAGAAAACAAAATACGTTTCCCACCTAAATTACTTCGCGACAAATTTTCCATTGGGAGACAGTTTAAACCTTAGCTTAGCGCGAGAGCTGTTGAGATAGGGCGGCCCTTCTTTAATATATTCAGGCAATTTCGGGGAGAGCGCGCCGCCAGGGAGCCGGGCGCTGTCTAGGCTGCAGATTAAATTTGTACCCTTCTGTTTGTCATTACATTTTGTTGCTTCTATGCTGCCGTGGTGTGACGTCACACCTTTTAAATTACTGCCGAAAATTCGTGCGCTTAATAATTTCGCGAATGCGGTGTCATCGTAATTGGTTTGCTTTTTATCATTACTATAACTTATTACGGCATGTCAATGACACGAATATAACGATGAAATAGTAATAGTAATAATAAAGTTTTATTAGTTACAAAAAAAGTAAAAATCATTTGAAGTTTAGAACTGTTACAGACTACAATGTCAACTCCTCATAGTTAGCAGTCATTGCTATTGTTCGAAAATAAAAAAAAAAAAAAAATGAAATGTTTTAAAAGAAAAAGCTATGATTAGGTTTAATATGCTGTAAATAGGTTTTTATTACCTACTCGTATATAAAACTTTGGTATGACTCATTAGTTATAATGTTGTCGATTTGCTTTTGACCATCTTCTACATTGGATGTTTTATTCTTACGTATAACATTGCCATTCCAATTTATTTATTAACGCTAAACAAAGGCAATTTTCAATCTGCCATAAGCCACCCTTTGTTGTTACAGTACATAACTCCGAGAGGGTTGTGACGTCCTTCGCTCTTAGGAAACTACTTCCCCATACCGCCCCGTGCGGCTGTTTTTCTATTACATTTATAAATTGTAGACATTTACACATATATTTTAGTTATAATCTTGTTAGCAATATATATGTTTACTCAATGTTTTTTGTAAACTTTAATAACTTAACTTTAGCTTTATTCCGTTACGCAATAAACGAAACTTTGTTTTAATAAATAATGAAGTAATGGAATATCGACCAGTTAATAAATGTCAATATTTTCTGTGATGTCAGGATACTTTTCAATTGTATTGAGGCTTGTTTAACGTATACAAAATCTTACGCCGGCTCCTACATTGAGATTTTTCAAACGACTGTCAATTATTTGCTAAATTCTTTTCGAATAATCGTAAAACCGTATCGAGGTCTTCCAGCGTCTGAATAGTTGAGTTCCGCACTCGTTCGAAGGGGGCGTGTTACGTTCGCAAATTCGGACACGATCTCCGTGAGGTGCGAGGCTGTGGCGGAAGCACTTGGCAGCGTCGGAGAGGGTTCTTGGCGCGGAGTGCGTGGCGGGGCGGCATTGGTCCAGCCCCACTCCGTGACCCTTTGGAAGCTTGCCCGGTGGACTTCTGTTAACGCTGGAGGCGGTGCCCGTCTAGGCCTCAACGGTTTTTTCGCAGATTCTCAAGCGAGAGCGGCTCTCAAAGGCTACTGCGTGCATCGCTGTCTATGCTGTGACGTAATTTAATAATCGCCCGCGATTCGCTTATTTGGCAGTGAGACAGCGCAAAGATTTTGCGAATATTGCATTGACTCTATTTTTTTTTACGAAATTGGTACGATTGAATATTTGCCGTTTTGAAATATCAAATCATCCAAAATATTATATTTGTATAGTTCTCATACCTAATTTCTTTGATACTAAATCAAGTAACTTAAGCAACAAAAAAGCACAAGTACTTAAAGCCCTCTTTAATTATTCTCCAATTAGTATTTCAACGATACTCGACTTCCTAAAATAGTGAGTTTTATCCAGCGTTTTCTGGCGCAACGTTAATAACTTAAAAACTTCATTAGAATACACGCCGCAGGGTAAAACCGAACGTATTCACATCTGAATAAAGGTCATTTTGCAGTTATTAATGCGGGTAGGAGAAAGCCGTCATATCTGCGCTTTAGATGAGCGGTCTTTCATCTACAGCTTTATATATTCATAAAGGACGTGGCCGATTTACGGACTCGAATGCAAATTCCGCACCAATTTCGTATCCTTCACCTGTCTCTTTAGAATTGGCGTGCAATTCGTTAGTGTAATACGCGGGTGCGCCTCGGGTCGGGGACTAACCCATCGCTCGTGTCATTGGGGCCAATTTCAAATGCCACAGCTGGTTAATTTGATGTTTGTTTGACAGGAACACTTGTAGATTAATTTGGTGTGTGTTCGACGGGAACACTTGTGGATTAATTTGGTGTGTGTTCGACGGGAACACTTGTGGATTAATTTGCTCAGTCCGGCCCGGATTAACGGGCACCTGGGAACGCGAGTGGTATGAAAGTGCTCCTTTAAATTAGAATTGAAAACATAATTTATAATACAATCTACAAGAGCATGGTTCGCATGAAAAAGATATGCCTTACATATAGCCTTACATATGCAGGGATATTTCTCGTATTTTCCTTCGTCGCTTTTCTTAGTAAATCTATACGCAGAATTATTTACTTAGTGTTCGAATTAGCACACCTATTTCGATCCTCGATTTGCAGTAAAAAAATATGTATTTTTAAAATCTAAATTGAGATTCTAAATTATATCTGATCAATTTTCGACGATGCCGCAAGGTGTGAGCATTTCAGCCGTTGATATGTTTAGCCGGACTATTTCCGCTTTATTTCGCCCTCAACGGCGCTGATGACAGTTCATTATTGACATTAGGAATGAAGGAAGCGAAGCGAATTTTCCATTATACCACCACTTAATAAAACAAAGTCGTTCCGCTGTCTGTCTCTCCCTATGTATACTTAAATCTTTAAAACTACGCAACGGATCTTGATGCGGTTTTTTTAATTAGATAGAGCGATTAAAGAGGAAGGTTTATATGTATAATACATTTCATCCGCGCGAAGCCGGGGCGGTTCGCTAGCATTCAATAAATTTAGATGCTCCTCTAAAGGTGAACTGTTTCACTGCGCTTAAAGCGAGTCTCTATTGTCTAGATCGGCATCCTACTGGTGATAAGACCACCGTCAGCCGGAAATTCGTCGCACCACGACGCGACGCGGCGCCGGTTGGCGTCGTAATAACCCACCATCGACGTGGCTTTGTTTGATTTATTTTTCACTTCTTCGAATTTCCCGTTAGTCACCACAGTTGCTACAGGAACGAGTCAGCTGTCGATTGACAGCTATTCGCTTTATCCTTCCTTTTGTAGTCTAGACCTTTTAGCTTTTATCAAAATTGTTAGTACACACATGCTGTGAACAGTGACTATGACAGAAATTCGATAAAGGCAAGACGATCTCCCTATGTACAATATTTCGTGGGTGTAAACTATCTTCTGTTTGCCAAAATTTCTTTCCTATTTTATCAATTCACATCTTTTATCATCACACATTTTATCTCGAAATAGTATAGGAAAAATTTTCAATTCATGATTTGGTATTGATAATGAATATTCGCCATCTCATGCCGAAATTCATAAAGCTGATATATGACAGTTTGTTCCCGTAGCACTTGATATTTAGCATTTATAAGAAGGGCTTAAATGGCTATGGCTTATAGGGTTCTTGCGCGCGACCAGGCATAAATTAATCGAAAAAATTACACCCGACCGAACATTTAAATAGCCTCTTTCCTCGGAGGTTTACAGGCTTGACCCCGATGTTTTCCGCTCGACTAATCTTACATCGCTATTCATCAATGTCCGAAACCTTTGGCCGCTTTTAAGTTCGCTCGCTCGCATTCGAGCCCGACTCCACGGTCGACTTACACATACACTTACTTACGCTTACGCCCGGTTTCTGAAACACTGATCATAGTCGAAGCTAACTGTCAAATGGATTTTCAAATGTTATTTGAATTGCCAAAAGGATTGTTAAACTCTTTGGATTAATCATCCTGATCATTAAGAAGATCATTCTGATCAATTCAGAGAGTTTAATAATCTTTTTTCAATTTTGTTAGCTAATTTTGGTAACGAATTACGAAACGCAACTCGATAGCTACGCGTCACAGTGGGTTTACGTAGATATTTAGGTCTGCGTCTCGTGTACTCCGCTATACCAATAATCCAGATGGAGAGGGACGGGAGAGCGGGCCATTCTGAGATTACGTTTCATTATCGCCACGGGAAAGGGAGCGCCGGTCGCCCGCTGTATGATCCCCGCCCGTGGCGCGGCTGCAACTAATGTCCGCCTTGCCGACGCCGCAAGGAAATGGCGGGCTCGAGTCGACGAATCGCACGGGTCACCTCGTGCTACGTAATATACAAAGGAAGTTTAAACTGGATATTTCCTTTTTTTTTCTTATTTAAATAAACTCAGCTTAAAGATGGCTCTGCGTCCGGGCGCTCGCCTTTAATTCTATATACTCGACCAACCTGAGTTAAATCCCCGGTGCCGGCTCCGATGAAATTGTTGATTTTAAGTGCTGACTTATCAACTTGGTCGACGGTGAAGTAAAACATCGCGAGGAAACTTGCATATTTTTGAACTAATAACAAAAACAATATTAATATTTAGAAGATATGTAAAGTCCTCCAATCCGCAGTGGGGCCGCGTGGTGAACTATGCCCTGATACCATATGTACAGAGAGAGGCCTTAACTCAGCAGTGGGACATGTTTTGGTTGTTACTTGTTGTTACTTTAGTTTAACACGAGTTAAAAACAAAGTAACAGCCAATACATGTTTCGTCTTTTCCTGTCAAATACATTGGCGAGACCTATCATTTTTTTTCTCCCTCTCTCGTTACTTTTCAAAAACAGCGCAGCGTTCTTTCCTAGCTTTATATCATTTTATATGGGCTGCCACGATATTACTCAAACTTCCAACGGGAAAAGATGACTAAAATGTTTCCTCCGAATGTCTCGTTGTTTTTTTTTTCGTTACTTTATTATGTTTTTAAACCGCTCGCCATTTTCTCTGGCAAGTTTCATTCTGTAATTCGGTTGCTTTGCTTTTAGATGTATTGCGATGGTCTTTATTTCTGTTCTGTGTCAAACTTCTTTTGAATACTGTACGATCTCACCCTTTGTAATTTCAATTACCTACCTGATATTTAGTTTTTTAACATAATGTTACAAAAGAAATATTAGTAGAAATGACTAGTTCGACTAATCGTTTGATTGGCAGCTCAATGTTCTTTGTTTATATTTTATTTCCCAATTTCCTTACATACGATTATTTATGAGAAAAACGTTTGCAGCATCTCCAGCGTACTTAATATCAACTTGTGCAAAGCGCTTATTAGATAAAGGATATATTTATTTATTTTTCCGATTTTGTTCACTGATGTTAATAGGCCAAGAAGAACACGTAGAATTCATAAAGCGGTTATTGATGTACCATCCAGTCTATTGAATTGTCGCTTCTGAGCGATCAGTCAACGTCTCCCTTTGTAGCCACATGTTCGAGTTTGCAGCGAGCCGCCAATAGTCATTTGCGGCGCTTTTTTTCTCGATTTATGACTTTTACAAGACTACGTCTCGATTTTGTTCATGTCTTTTTGCTTTTTACGACAGCCATGCAATTATCTATGTTTAAGTTTTTTGTTGATATTTTGATATATTGAAGGCTTTCCATGAGTACTGTAGTTTTATTGTTAGCGGTGTCACGTTTCTTCATTTAAGCGAATACTTAACATTGTCAAGTTAAAATATTTCACAGATTGTAGCGCGTTTCGTTTACATTTGTCTTATGTCCTTCGACTTTGTTAAGAGTTCGGGGGTTTGGCGGCTAAAATCAAGGTTAAACGCATACATCGCCCGATTTAGAAAACGGAAACAAGATTTGCGGTAACCTTAATATTCGAAGTCTAAGCAATCTTTATTGCCATTTCTAAATAATTCCAAAAAACAATTAAAACATGTGATCAGTTCATATCACTCCTATGGATCCATTAAAACACAATTCCAATGAATTTATCCACCGAAATGTGTTTTAAACGAACACTTCCAACTGGCCGCTTCGTAGCCATAGCTTTTTTATCAAACACCATTATATTCTAATTGTGTACGCTGCGAGATTGTCGCCGACTACGTAACGAATGTCGATTATCCATCAACGTCGTCCCCGGACGCCGTCGCGCTTTAAAAAATGCATTCCGACCTCTCGGACACCCGACCCGAGAGAAGGGACCAGTGTCCCTTCAGAGAGAGAACTCTAGCGGAGTTGCGACATTGCAACGTGGCACGTCGCGTTGAACGCGATTTACATGCCGAATGAATATTCGTAGCTCGTTACGATTAACAAAGGGACGTTACGGTAAAGGCCCATTTACACGATGCCATTTTCTTGTACATACAAGAGCAATAATTGAATGCAATCAATTGCGCGCAATAATTTGTTAGACCATTTGTTGTTTAGACCATGCAACTCATTTATTGCTTCAATTTAATTGTATACAACAGGCAAGAAACTTGCACCGTGTAAATGGGCCTTAATGCTCCGCTGACGTGCAATTAGAATGGGCCGCTTCCTTTCGTAGACCGACAGTGAGCCAGTGGCTAACCAGATCTGTGGCAGTTTAATTAAATAAATAAATTTATCGTTAGATATTTATAAAAATATCCTATACATGTCCCACTGCTGGGCAAAGATCTCCTCTGTACAGATGGTACCAGGGCAATAGATATTTATGCTTCTAGCATTTTCTACATTGTAAACAGTGCTTGCATAAAGTCTCTTCAATATACTCATTTATTAACTTATACTGCGTTGTATATGGGATCGTATAAAGATTTTCTTGTTAATAGTATACTAGTGGTCGCACGGTATTGGGATTATTGAACCATTGAATTCTTTTAATTTCATTTTTTTTTCAATGAAACTCAATAATATTAAAATATGTAGAAAAATAAATAACTTAAAAATATTAAAATAAGTTAATCGTTATTTTTAAAATACTTTGACGACAATGGTTCGACCACGTCGTATTACGTGTTTGGCATTGAAAGCGTTTATGTGAGCAACAATTTATTTTAGCTTATTTAATGCAATTGTAACATATAAAAATATCAGTTATGTATTATTTTGGGCGTTTTTTTCTTCTCTATTTTTTTAACTTTAAATATCACATCTAGCAGTACTACGCGCGTGCAATGTTTTTTATAACATATAAAAAGTTTTTACTTCACACAAAGATTAATATATTGTATTAACAGGATAGCAGTAATTACAATGTAACGCGTTGACAACGCGAGCTATTTATAAAAGTTCACTAATGAGCTCTGCTTTGTTGTCACTTTTCGGACAAAGGTCTGTCACTCCCGTTATTAAGCCTTCATTGTGGGGCTCAGTGTCGAACTAGAGACGAGTAATTAGTGTTTTGACGTATTAGGTGCACATGGCTACCACCAATACTTTAATAGGTGTTAAGTGACATAACTAATAGAGTGATTAATTCAACTAAAGGACAAGAAAGCCTTTTCTATTATTAGGCACTATTCATGCCGGCGGCATACCGTCGGCGTTGGTTGCATATCTGGGTTTAAAATTTTTGCGTATCATTTATTTATTTTGACCTTTCTAATTGGGACGGACTAATGGTTAAACGGAAACGCTCGGTTCGCTAATTAACGTCGTTTCATTATTTAAAAATGGAATACGAAACCCCGGCGCGTGATAAAACTGTCGATAAAACTTATCGTTTTCTCTAGTGGTATTTAAAAAGATACTCAGGAAAACCTGACCGAACAAGCTGGCTATCGGTCGCGTACGGAGATGCCCGATAACGCACTCCGCGCTTTGCTAATCGACGACCAGATAAGGCGGGTTTTATTTTTCTACAACGATCCTCCGCGCCCGCTACGCTATTGGAATAGAATATACATACTTACTTCAAAAAGAAGAACGGTGTCGTGCGAAAAGCGACCTTATTTTATGAGGGTTATAGATTTAAATGTTGTCGTCGGCAGCGTAGTGGCATGGCCGATTGTGCGCGAGGGATTTTTTGTGCTAGTTCGAAATGTATTGGGACCGTTGCAAGGCGTTTGGGAGCACAGCTGCACGACATCCGGGCGGCTATGTACGATAGTAGACACAAGTGCATTTTTGTGTTACCCTTGTTCCGTCTACTTTAGAGTGCCCCAAAC